ACAATGTACGCCGAAATCATCAATCTTGTTTAAAGGTATAGTCTGATACTCAGAAGGTTCTTCATTCGGTGGCTTATAACCCTTGGGATAGGTTCGAAATGCACCTAAACATACTTTTCCTGCTGACACTGTGCGTACTGGATCCACAACTATTGCAACAAATGGTTCCTGATAGTTTTGATTAAGCATTTGTGTTGATACATCTATGCCGGACAACCAACAGCCATAGCCGGGATGACTGTGATACCATCCGATAGCATTTTCCAATCGCCCCACCTCCTTAGCTGCCTCAATATAAGCAGACATGTACTCGTAGGCTTGCGACTGCGCGTTCACACGCGTCTCGGTACCCTCTACGGGCAATGCGAAAGCGTCCATTACAATCATAGTGTTATCCTCAACTTTACCAAGCAGCAGACCCATAATCTCGAGAGTTCCACCTGAACGTGCATGCATTACCATCTTAAGCAATGACAATGCAGATATTTTGATATCCTTAAAATAATGAGGATCCTTTTCCCACGGCTTGGCGTCGAGAATCTGTCGCTGTTGTTCAGCATCATAGCGGAAAATTTCATCGCATGCCGGCAGTGTCTTCACATTGTTCTCCAGCTCCCAAGTTTTGCGCGAGGCTTCAGCATCCATATTTAACTGCTTTAATTTATTGTAAAATAACAAATGACTACTTTTGCAAAAATGTTACAACTCCTACTCGTAAACAAGTCGTCAAACGAACTATCTGAAGAATCAGCTGTAGAGGTGCAAAAAAGATCGATTCTGACAGAGATACATCGATTTTTTTAATTTTTGGCGCAACATCGATGCTATGGGGCGAATTCGATTAAAACCGAAGAAAGTGCCCAAGGCGTATTTAACAAGGTGGTGTTGGCCGTATATAAGTAAAAAATTACACTAACAAATTATACGCTGATGTCCATACTGTCATTGGTATGAGTTACAACAAACACATCATTTTGACGTAATGGCCTCCACGGCGAAAAACTCAGCTGTCGCCCCAACACCACCTTGTTTAATACACCTTGAAAGTGCCTTTGCTAGTTGTAAAAGTGACGGTGAGTAGGAGTGTTGCCGTTTTAATCCATATACTTCAAAATTGATACGTGTTTATTTGTGCAAATTTTCGGAAGATACTTTATTTTTTGCTCATGTATGTTTAAAGAGCTGACTGCATTAATTTTTATTTTACTTTACTTGTCTCATAAATAGCTCTGCGGCTGCAGCGCGTATATTTTCAGATTTAAAATTGATCCAGTATGAAAAGAGAAATCAAGACCGATAGAATACAAGGATGCTGATTGATGTGAAATTCGGGAGAGTAACGTGAATATGACGTCATCGCAGATTTGCCGGTGGAGAGAGCTGAGCGAGATCTATCAGTAAGTATATGTTTTGCATATGTATATGTATATGCACATCACGATTGGGAGAATACAAAGGTTGCGCCGATCTCGGACCGCTATTCCTCTCTTAACGAATTTGACAGAATCGTTGTTTGCATGACGTCACACTGGTGCAACTTGTTTACATTTTCCTTGCAACATTTTTTCTTCTTCTTCCATTCTTGCTCACGTTTTGGCATTTCGCTCTCGCAATTGCACCAGTGTGACGTCACACAAAAGTTATTCTCAAAAATCCTCTCTGATAGGCGCAATCTTGTATTCTATCATTCTTGTATGCACATCACACACGATTGAGAGAAACAGAGGTTCCGCCAATCACGGTACCGCTATTCCTCTCTCAGTGAATTTGACAGAATCGTTTGTATGACGTCACACCTGTGCAACTTGTTTACGTTCTCCTTGCAACATTTTTTCTTCTTCCATTTTTGCTCGCACACGTTTTGGCATTTCTCTTACGCAATTGCACCAGTGTGACGTCACACAAAAAAATTCTCACTAATCCTCTCTGATAGGCGCAATCTTGTATTCTATCATTCTTGCATCACACAAGCAATACACAAAATCTCCTATGACGTCATATTTCTGTCAAAATTTTCAGAAGAGAGTTAGCGGTATCACAATCAGCGCCACCTTCTGTATTCGTTTCACCATGAAGAGAAATAGAATTTCAATACAAACTGTTCAGAATATGATAGGGCGTATTCATAGTAAATGGAATGGAATAACACAAACGGCAATAACGCAAATTTGTGTTGTTTCCCAATTGAATGTTGGGAAAGCTAAACTGTTGGAAAAAAGCAAAACTCAGATTTTAGTAATATTTCACATTTAAAAGTAAATAAAGCAAATTTTGCGTTACTGCTAACGGGGAGGGGGAGGGGGAGGGGCGGGTGAAATAACACAAACGGTAATAACGCGAATTTGTATTATTTCCCAATTGAATGTGAAATAACACAAATTTGCTTTATTTCATTTCTCGTTGAGCAATAACACCAACTTTTAAACTTAACGATTGAGTAATAAAGTAAAAAAGTGCACATATGTGCTTAGTCACCCAGATACATTTGAAAAAAAGTAGTACATGAACAAGTTAAATGGACGGATTAGTATGTATACAAATTTGAAAGTGCCCGGCGTAGCGGCGTTCCGCGTTCGCGCGCCGCCCCGCGTCACACCACGGCACGCCGCGCCACGTTCGACGTCGAACCTCCTGAATTGCCTACTCAGTCCGAAGTAGCACTTGTTGGCAAGAGTGATTCTGCGTTGGATTTCCATGCTGACATTATTATTGGTGTTAATGCTGGTTCCCAAGTAAACGAAATTCTCTACTTTCTCGAAATTGTAACTGTCAACAGTGACGTGGGCGCCAACGCGCGAATGTGCTGACTGTGTGTTTAATGACAGGCGATACTTCGTCTTGTCCGAGTTTACCACCAGTCCCATTCGCTTTGCTTCCTTAAGCCCTGTATGCAGCTCTCAAGAAAACGGTCAAGAAAAAATTGCCATTATTTCGCGTGTGAGTCCAAGGAATTTTGACATTTTTGATACCTCACAGCCTGTTGCCTCACTCTTTCCTCAAGAAATAATGGAACGGGCATATATTTCTGTTGCAAACCTGGGTTGCCTTGTGTTCTTTTTTCACAAAAAACTTTAGAAAACCGTAGTAGAAAGCGTACTAAATTTCTGAAGAACTGCGTACTGCCTTAAGGAAATTTGACTCAAGAAAAATTTCTTAGCCATTTCTTGTACGTCATTTTATATGGAGTTTTTGCTTTTCTTAAGAGCTGGATACTAAGCTTTAAGGAAATTTGACTCAAGAAAATTTCTTAGCCATTTCTTGTGCGTCATTTTATATGGAGTTTTCGCTTTTCTTGAGAGCTGCATACAGGCCTTTATCCAAATTGGAAAAGGCAGAACTGACTTCGCGGTTTTTGATACCGGTGATATCGATTTTATCGAGGTCTTTCCCAATTCTGACGGAGCTGTACTCGGCGACGGAGTCTCTCTCTCGCCACAAATCCAACTCCGAATTTGAGCTCCTTTACATGGCAGCTGGAGTAGACGTCGCAAGGCCCCAGACATTGCTTACCTTGCCCCGTCCAACGCATTTTTTTGATGGCGGTGTTGTCAGTTTTTGTCCTTACGAGGACATCAACCAGCCGGGCAGAGGCACCTTCCCCATTAAGGGTCCGGACATTCCAGGTGCATGTCCTCAAATCGTAGTCCTTTAAACGTTTGTCGTGGTCGTCATCATAACGGAGGGTCGCATTCGAGGCTTTTCCTCGCTTCTTCGCTGAAAGTGGTTTTTACCTGGCGGGTCCCAAACCCAGCGCAAAACCCATTGTTGGGACGGGGCTAGTTTTGCAACCAAATACATTTTTATATAGCGAGCCGCTTGCTCCAAGTAGACACCCGCTTGCAGCCACACCTACTGGTGAACAGACGCTGCAACTTTACTGAGCCCTTAAACCGAGTAAGTCGGAGTGGCCCCACCGAAGCTTCCTCTCTTTCTTCCGTGACCCAAGGCTCCACTCAGATTGGTTACCGCATCTTGACCATGGGTTGCTCACGTGGCCCAGAGTGCGTGAACGAGGACGCAAGAGTCGGGATTGAGTATAGCTATGCAACTGTAACTGCATACCCAGCGCAACGACTATCCCCATTGTACTCCAGTTATTGACAATAATATTAAGCAGAGGTATGAAACCAAATAGGATTTTTTTTAATTCTTTCTAACTTGATTGTTTGATACCTAAAAAAAATGTGATACATTTGATCCATTTTTTGCTTCTGTTACGATGTATTTCTTAATGGCGTCACGGCAACACTGGTGCTGTCAGTGGTACCGCTACTTTGATTTTGCGGATTTTGACAGTTGTGGTAATTTGTAAATGAACCTTTGTTTACATATCAGCGGCAAAGATAAATTTTAATTATAAGTGCAAAATCTGTATAAATTGCAATTTGTGAGTGATTTTTGAATTGAAGACTGCGTAAAAACTAGTAAAATTAAGTGCCATGTGTTAAATTGCGACAGCCGTCAAGATGCAAGATGCGTAAATACAAGTGAAGCGCTGCTACAAATCGCTGCATTTTGTGTGCATAGGGCACGGCAAAGCCCTATAATATATTATATAATTGAGGGACTCGCAACGGTGTCGTAGGTGTCGTATTGTTGTATGACGTAAACTTTAAAAGCTTAAATAAATGTTAATAGAACTTGAAACCACAGCCAACTATTTTTTAGCACTGCGAGAATGCATAATATGACTTTGATGGTACTTTTCGAACCCCCTTATTATATTTTTTTATACGTTTAAAGTTTACGACATACAACAATACGACACTTACGATACCGTTGTGAATACCCCAAATAAAATATAATTGATATAACGAAGATTTGTTCTTTGCCTTGATTTACGTTGTTTGGTCAAACGTAAAAAATTGAACCTGTGGCCCGCCCTTGCGCTTGCTAAAGAAAATAAACAAACCCTTACAGGGTTGTATTTTTGTACACAACGCATCAGTTTAAAAATTTCAAATAAACGTCAAAAAGCCAATAAGAAGAACAAGCTGTGAAAAAGACAAAAGCAAAAAGGAATCGAATGGCGAGTGAGCGCGTCCCTTTTCTTGTAAAAGCACATCCATAGAAAAATGAAAAATTCCGATAGAGAGCAGTAAATGGTGAAATAAAATATAATTAAATGTGGAAAAAGCTACAAACTTAATTTTAAAGATTGAAAACAGAAAAATTCCGCTGGAAAAAGTTCAATTGTGAAGATATACATAAGAAATTAGGTGCACAAATTCAGCAGACGCAAAAAAGTGGTGGTGAAAAATTTGCTTATATTTGCTGTTGCTGTCGGCTTCGGCTTGCTTGTATCGTTTTCGTGTTCTCTGTTAATTTTTTACTTATTTTCGTGCATCTGCTTGTAAGCAGAATTGATAATATATTTAATGTGAGAAATAACTAACAAATCGAAATTTACAACACACGACTGATAATGGCGTTGGATGGAGCGAAATTTATTTGCTTGTCTGAGGCAGCTGCTGGGGACGCAACTGAAGCGACGCCGGCCGTAGCCACGGGGGATGTTGCCGGCGACAGCGCTGAGGCCGAGGCAATAAAAGGCGAAGTGATCGAAGCGAAAGGACGCAAGTTCACTGTGGGGTACTATATGAGCTGTGATTATGTGGTCGATGATCCTCGCGCAATTGGAGTGCACTGCGAGATACTATGCGACGCTTTCGGTCGGGTAAGTTGCGTTTGTATGATTTTGGCTGTCTACTCTAGTGGCTATGTGTGCTCCGTTCAGCTCTGCATTCAGCGAGCGACTTTTAAACTATTTCTCTTGCTTGTAGCATGTGTGTATGTATATTTGTGCATGTGTTCAATGTTGAAAAATTGGCGTTACTTTAAATTAAGAATACTTGGATATGTGTTTGTATTTTTTTTAATTGGTTGTTTTGTTTGGTTTTATTTTATTCCGTAGGTGACCATTCACAATTTGTCGAAGGCATATCCAATTAGCGTTAATGAACAGATTATAACTATAAAGCGGCCTCTGTTGGATGGTAGCCGCATTAAGATCTTGGACAGAATGTTTTTGTGGAAGTTTCCTAAATCGTTGGAGACGACTGCAAGCAGCAGCAACAAACAAGTCGCAAAGGACGATGAGACCGAAATTTCAACACCACAAAAAATGGCAGGAGTACCGGAACAAGCACCAAATTCATGTCCTGACCTCAAAGTATGGTTTGCAAAATTGTTCTTTTAATTTTTATTTAAGCGTTTATTTTTTTCAGCCCCATAAAATAGTTGATAAACGATTCACAGTCCATAAGTGAGTATTTGAAATGTTTCAATTGTTTTTTAAAGTTGATAAAATGTAAGAAATCAAGTAAGATCCTTTCTCCGGGAAACTGGATGACTATATGCTAGCTCATACTTGTGTTTTAACATTTTGCATCGACAAACGATCTGGCGCACATAGGGGTATTTGTACGATCTAGACGGCATTAGAGAATTTTGCAAAATTTGAAGAAAATTTAAAAAAGTCACTTGATAAAGAACATTCCGAAGAGCATTTTGCAATCCTTTTCCTGACCTTTCTAACTTGCACAGCGAACGTTTACCGTCAAACGAAATTCGAGTTTTCTAACGCTGTGTATATTTTAAATTTTGTTCTATAGACAGATTGTGACGGGTTTAAGTTAATATCTTTGTGAACAGTGTTAAAAAATATTGTTATAGATTTGAATGAAGCAGGTAAGAACACATACTTTTGAAATATTTTACTACATTTTTTAGTGGTAAGACTTTGTTTTATTACCGATTGAAAACATCGTTTTAAATTATTTGAATATATAACATAGGTTTACATTTGAAACGGTTTTTGTTTACTTCCGGGGTCTGCCAGATTATTATCTTAATTTATAATGAGAGGTTAAAGATTAACAGATAACCAATAGATTAAGATATCTCCCAAAATTGTGTTTCATGAGGATTTTTCTTGCTCTAACTTACTCTACTTTTTGTTTCATGAGCCTGCGCTAAGTGGATCTAGAACAACTTAGAGCACGATTTTCTGCACCCCCTTTTTGTTATGGAGTAACTTAGAGCAAACAAACACACACACACACTTTACAATTGATGAATTGAACTGTCGAGCAATCAACTGTTTTGAGAATTTCTGCCTGAAAAGTGTTTCATGAGATTTGTGGTCTGAGTTGCTCTAACTTGCTCTATTGTTTTTTTGACAACTGCTCTATTCTGCTCTAACTTGAGCTGCTCTGCACTTTTTTCGGTTTCATTAAACACAACTAATATTCACGCATGGTACAATAATTACAGGTATTGTCTTCCCAGAGAGTGCATATTCTGATCTGCCTTATTTGAAAAATATTGTTGCCCACCGTAAAAGGTTTACTGTAAGGTAAAAGGGATATTTCTATTCACCATTTACCATATATGTCTACGTATTTTTTTTTTTTTTAAAGAAACCTTGCAGAGAACTTATTTAAATTGCAAAAGCCGAAAAATAAACATTTGATTGCTCAATTTATTTCAAACGTTTTTTCTCTTGAAAAATTATAAAAAATTAATTGAGCGAGAACCAAAGCAAAGCCACCTAAAAGTAAAGCAATCAACATTGAAATGCGCCTAAACGAATTTCGCTGTGAAGCAAAACTCTCTGGGAGGTATTGTGCTTCACATCAAAATTCGTGCTCCCTTATTTTCATTTTGACGCAGTTCAATGTTGATTCTTTTACTTTTATTTGGCTTTGCTTTTTGTTTTCACTCAAATTAATGCCTATAATTTTTCAAAACAAAAGAAAAATACGTTTGAAATCAAGTGAGCCATACAAATTTTGAATTTACATATTTACCAACAAATGTTTTTTTTTTTTTTTACCGGCTATTGCAAATTAAATAAGTCCTCTGCAAGATAATTTGTTTCAAAAATACGTGTACATATATGGTATATGGGGTATGGAAATATCCCTTTTCCTTAGCAGTAAACGTTTTAGTGGAGGCAACAATGATATTTTTTAAATAAGGCAGATCGGAATATGCGCTCTCTGGGAAGACAATTCCTGTAATTATTGTACCAACATTGTTGCCCACACTACAAGTTTTACTGCTAGGGAAAAGGGATATTTAGGTACCCCATATACCATATATGGACACGCATTTTTTAAACAAACCTTCTTGCACGGGACTTATTTAATTTGCAAACGCCGAAAAAAAACATTAGTAAATAAATTGAAAACTTGTATGGCTCACTTTATTTCAAACGTATTTTCTTTTGTTTTGAAAAATTATAGAAATTAAATTGAGCGAAAACAAAGCCAAATAAAAGTAAAAGAATCAACACTAAACTGCGTTAAAAAAAAATAAGGGAGCACGAATTTCGATGAGGAGCAAAGCTCTCTGGGAAGACAATACCTGTTATTACACAGGGCAACACTGATTTTGGTGCGGCAAATGTTAAATCTGTTTTTGATAGACTTTTTTGAGCTGATTACGAATCCGTAATTATAAAGATTCCATCAAGTACAGATTTTGAGAAAATCGTGGTCAAAGTTTCAAAAAATCGGGTTTCTTTTCAATATTTGAGAAGCTCGAGCAAAGAGTAAAAATGTGGTAGAACCTTCCACTTAGGCTTAACTTAAAGCTAGAACCCTAGGCTACTGCCCCTGAAAATACCATCTCTTCGTCTTGACCCTAACAAACTCCCCGGGAGTATTAAGAATTGGCCTGATAGTAAAAACATTTTAACCCGTTATCTCCCTCACAAAAGAGTCGCTTCGGCCCTTTTTTTAGAACGTCCGAATAAAATGGCATTTTAACGGTCGCTAGAGGGTTAACATGTTCTAGAAAATTAACTTCCATAAAATTTCACTAGGGGTTTTCTCAGAAAAAATCTTTGTACAAAGAATCTGTAAGTCCACAGAAAATAAAAATATGCACCAACTTTTTATGCTTTTATTTTATATTTCGTTTATATATATAACTCTTGCTCTTTTCGGGCCTGGGCGGCTACTCTGTAATGCGATGCAAAAGAGAAATGCGATGCGAAAGGGAAATACGTCGTAGGCGATTGCCTATCTCATCGCATTTCTCTTTCGCATCGCATTACAGAGTTTACAGAGTAGCCCCCCTGATGTTTCGGGAAGTGTAAAATTAGCATCGGAATCAACGCTGTTATCAAAATGTGAGTCACACACGATGTCCACGTGTAATTCCAATTCTGGCTCTACTGCGACATCTTGAAATTCTTCATGATCGTGATCCTCAAACACGTGCTTACTTCACTAACAAATTTCTGCAAGAATTGTATCCGGTGCTTTTTTTCTTCTATATACAGTGACGAGCAAAACTGTAACATGGTGTAAGGCTTTTTGTATCAGCCGCCGCTATCTTTCCAAGTTCTAACGACATTCATACTTTTGTTGTATATTCTTATTGGTACACCTGCACTTCCTCTCCCATAACGAATTGAAATCAATCCAACAACACTAATAAAACCAGCAGACAAAAATGTAAGTTAAGGCATATGTTAGAGTTTTGCACTTATATATTTTTAATAACTTTTTGACAATTTTCACGAAAAAAAGAATTGTTAACACAATGTTCAGCAATGTTCCTGGATGCAATTTGACATACCTTATTTGTATCTCTTTAAAAATTCTGGAGGTATAGCCTTCCATATATCCTTGGTTTGCTTTCAGAGCTCATGTACTCCATTGGACGGACTTGGATACTTAGTAAGCTGCGCTTTTAGTTGATTACGCAAATGTTCGACGAGATTCATATCCACGGATTGTGGAGGTCATTTCAAAATAGCAAGTTTTTGCTTTTGCATCCAGTCTTTGCGAACATGTGCAGTGCGTTTTGGTTGATTTTTCTGCCGAAACTCTAATTTTTTCGACTACATAGTTCAAATTTTGTTAAATATGAACAGATACTGTTCCTTACGCATAATGCGTACTAACGGATCAACAATATTTTTGAAATACAACCCCAAACTATTATTGACCGACCACTGAGATTCACAGTTTGCCTAACATGATGCGCTTAGGCTTAATTTGGGGCTTTGATCCAATACCATGCCCGGCCATCTGATTGAAAGCGATTAATTTAGTCTTGTCAGACCAACTAACCTTCAATTAAATCTAAAACATTTGTTTTTTTATTGCATTCTGTAAGGTCTAACATATCCCAATTAGAGGTTTACGCCGACAGGCTTTGCGGCGGCGGCGTGGTCAACTTCAAAAATATTCGTCTGGAAACGCAGGCGCTACTGCTCATAAGGTAGATTTCAAAGAGCCATGAGGCTACTAATCTTATTATTTCAACTCGTCAGCGTTAGGCATTCGCAATGCCAATTATTCTATTATTATAATAATATTTATTTCATTATTGAATTAGTTTTAAATTTAAATATTGTTACTTACTACTTGAATTAAACTGTTGAGTGTCTGGCGCTGATTAATGGGCGAACAGAAGAAAGTCTGAGGTATATACATACATACACACACGGATCTCTATGTTCTCTACAGATCCGTATGTACTATTTAAATTTAAAGAAATAAAAAACCTTTAAAAGTTTAGTTATTGGGGTAATTTATGTTGCTCTCAATAAATTTTTGCAATAATCTTATCAACCGTTATGTTAAATTACGGAGTTCTTACGATTTTTGCGGATTACGTCTTGAAAACAAGGTTGGTCTACTTTTTTTCCAAAAGTTTAACCCATCAACTCGAACCAGAACGGGCCTTTTTGACCCACTGTTGAAAATAATGGCTTATAGATGGTTAAAATTTCTACTAAAATAGGAAGAGCCAAATTTTTCTAAGGAGAACCGAATGTAATGAAAAATAATACAAATGTTTACACCATAAAGAGGGAACTTTAACCCTGTGTAGAAAACATTGCGATGCGAGGGAGCAAAACCTTCCTGGGGTTTGACCACCACTAAGGAATGCAAACGTAATTTTCGCACAGCCACCTAGTACTGGTATACGTATGTGGGACCCCAGATAAAAATAACTTACGAAGGTAAATATTAGCAAAAAATGTGTTTGTTTAAAATATTAAAAAAATACATTGAAAAATCAACTTGTCTTTGTTTTTTTCTCCAATAATTGAGGAGTTAGATGCAATGAGGCCGCTTCTATTATAACAGCTTTCTGAAATATTGCCGTTAAAGTTTTTGATGTGTTATAATTTTCTTGTTGTTGTAGTAGGTGTATAAAAAAGTAGTATTGTTGTAGTATTGAAAAGAATTGTCAACTGCGGAAAAAAATCGTTAGATTACCAGTATTCGACACTAATTT